GTTAACATCTCACCACCGCGGCCGCACACACCAGGGTAGTCGCACCCACGCACGTACAGGCGGTCTGGCTGCTGGGTCAATGAGAGCACGCATTGACAGGAACACATGTCAAACATTTAATAACCGCAGCCCTTTGTCAATTCCACTGCTGGATGAACACGTGTCTGACCTTAGATCCCCGCGTTACTCCCCACTGCTGCCGTGGGCTACGTGCGTGCAGGATGCAATCACGCAGACACAGAGAGAGAGAGAGACACTGGTCGCCCGCGTGGACGTATACAGGGGGGTGATACAACCATGATCACAACCGGACGCGTTTGTCTCCCCAGAACTGATGTTTACGGAACGCACCCCTTACTCGCCTATGGCTGAGTCGACCTTCGCGAAGCCCAGAATCGCTTCTGACACCACTGGGCAGTCGATGTCAGCTGTGGTTGGGGATGCTCTCCAAGTGTTCCAGGTCCGTAGAGTCGGTGCGTAAAACCAGTTGCGGTGGAGTGGCCGTCATATGTCTGTGAGAGTTGAATGGGGCACAAATATAACCGAGTCTTCTTTTATTGCCGGAAAAATAATCATCCTCAATCGCCGAATTTGTATCCTTAGAATAAAGGTCCATAAAGTTTGATTTGGCTTCACGCATAGGACAGGGTCACCCCGGAGCGCTGGCATCTATGTGTGTGCATCCGTCTCGTCAGCGAACCAAACAATTCGTGGAGTGTGACGCTAAGGTCACGAGAAAGTCGCTACCGGTCACCGGTTGTTCGACCCTTTGCCAATCCACTGCAGTGTCGGTCCCCCGGGGCTTTTTGTGCCGGTCGGTTGGAGTGGATTGAGTTGCAAGAAGGACTGATTCAGATATCGCTCGCCACTGAATTCAACCGTGGCCGGGAATCAAACTCAGGTGAGCTAGAGGTCCAGGGCGCAGTTCAGCGCTAACCACTGTGCCATCCACACTCCAGCCCGATGTTGTGTTGTGTGCGTGTGTAGTTGACACGCGTAAATATCGCGAATGATAAAAGCTCGTCCACATATTTCAAATTGGTCTGAAACACGCCCAATTAAAACGGCTCCTCATTCCCATGCACGCACGCACGAACACACAGACGCGCGCACACACATACAGTACCGGGGGCATTAGGGCTTCTGCCATTGAGCCTTTCATCCGTGAGAACGGCAAACTGCGATCCTCTTTCAGATAAAGATAATGCACTCTGTACGTGGCTCGCTTGGGCTAGAGGGGGGGGCTGGGAGCCATAACCCCCCCCCCTCCTCCTCCTCCACCCACGAGACGTCGATGCTATCGGTTCCTGTTTCATGTAAAGCGTTGCTGCTGCTGTTGCCGTGAAGGAAATGTTAACTACGTCGCTAATTGCGAGTCTCTCCACCGCACATGCGGGGAGACGAGCGCTTAAGGGGGGAGGGGGGGGGGGGATTCATGGTCAAGGCTAAGGGGAGGAGTGGGTGGCGAGGGGGGGTTGGGGAAGCCTTCTTCACAATCCTGGCGAATCGCTTGATGAAGCTGGTTGCAATCACCAGCGAAACGTCGCAGTACTGAAATTGTAAATGTTGTGGGTTTACTCTCCAACACACGGGTGTGCTGAAGTAGTCACTAAATTGGCACGTTCTGTTACGTGACAAACCTTACTAATTGGCTGTGTTGGGTGGTGGCGGGTTTAACGACACATATATATTTATATATTTATGCGAGGGGAGGAGGGGGCTGGTGGGGGTGGACGCTTCATCGTGTTGACGGACACACGGAATTGTAACGCACCTACACACGTACGTAGCTCGGGTTATATCAACATGCGGTATTACAACGATATGCGTATATTCGATACACGAGGTTTTTGTTCCCATTATTTTACAGATAAAGCTAAGGAATAAATTAAACTGAGAAATGCACTGAAATTTACGACTAAACAAGGAATTCGTACGATATCAATTACAACTACATTACGTGTCTTCACTGTTCCTTTTATTTGCCAGTTTTGATTCATTTTAATACTTTGCAGCATAAGATATGTTGTTTTAAATATAAATCGTATTTGTGAACAAGATGAATGGTAAGTTATGAAGTGTTTATAGTCTGAAATGGTAAAGTTACAAAGGCTTTCAACGCATTATCATAGTACTGACGTAAAAAGTTATTCAATAAAAGAGAGATTGCCATATACGAAGCTCCAGGAACGCATCTACTTCGTATATCGAGGTATCACTGTACAACCACGACTTGCTTTCTCTATCAACACGATTCTGAATACTGCGAGGCAGGCTTGTAGTAGGACACATTGGCGTAAGGCACTACCACTAGAGTAGAATGTACACCAATCCACAACACTCTTCAAATACTCTACACTATTTTCAAATCAGACCACGAACATGTTTTCGAAATATAATATAGGCTGACAATTTAAGGCGAGATGGCTGCGGCGTGCCCAACTTAATTCCTGGAACAGCGGTTCCGGCTGAGCGCACCGAACACAAGCGCACGTGAAATGAAGAACTCGAAGTGGACAAAAAAAAACACAATGGGAGAAGACCCCAGCGCAACTTTTGTCCTCTGGCTCGCTGTGTAAATTGTTGGGAGAGCGGTGGCGCAGCGGTTAACGCGCGACGCTATGAACCCGGCGACCCAAGTTCGATTCCCGCTCACGGCCAACACCAGTGACGAATATCTGAACCGGTCCAGGGCCTCACCTAGCTCGTGTAAGCCTCGAATGAGTACTCGGTGCGGTGTGTAAACATCGCCACTGGGGAGACAAAGGCGGTCGGGCGTGGTGCTGGCCACCCACCCCCTCGTGTGCTGTGCCGGCCTTCATACGTGCTCGCTAACAGCACTTGCACCAACAGTCTGTTAAGGCTGTACGGGCGATCTGTGTCCTTGTGTGCATTGGCTACGTTGTATTGTGTTTTAACATTGCACTTGGCCTGTGTGATCACTTCCTCGCGGTGGTCATTGTCTCAAAGGCACCAGTTGCTCAGGCGCACCGAGATGTACTCCATCGGAGGCGAGGAATAAATGTGATTAAATGACGATGTTTAAAGATGAAAGCCAACGGAGTTAATGTGAAATTGTAGATCAAGGTGTGTGTGGGGGGAGGGAATTTTCTTACCGCGGGCCGAATAGGACTTTCACATCGCTTTGGCGGGGCCACAAATGCACCACGAGACCTCTTACGGTGACGGAAGTGGCCGAGCGCGTTATAATTAGGAACACGCTGTTGCCAGGCCAGAGGTCCACTCTGCTGCCCCCCCCCCCAGCCCCTCTAGTACCCGATTAGTGATCCTGAAATCGCCGGTTGCAAGACGGGGTGTGACGCGTTAAAACTCCCTGCTGAAGGGGATCTCACGGTGAAGATTCAGTGGGCAGGGGATCTTGAAGAATCAGGGGGGTGGGGGGGGTATGGGGCTGTGGGAGGCGGGGGGGTCATTGCTTGACGTGTCCGTGTATTTATAGACACACAATACACGCAAGCGGTGTGGCGGGGGTGCGTCGGTAGCGCACCACGCCGCTAAAGAAGCCGCCAAACTGATATCCGAACTGGTCCCGGGGATAAACCACCACCCTTCCCTCCTTCACCAGCCTGCGCCGACCAGCGTGGTGAAGTACGCTCATGACCGGCGAGGCGTGGGAAGGCATTCATTCGGCAGCGGACTGACGAATTGACTGAACACTGTGATCACACATTGCCGCTCTGGAACACGTAACGATAACAGGAAGGCCCGGCGAGTGTTACTGAAAGGAGATGAAGCCAAAACAAGTTTCCGTGTCCAGGGGTGCCGACGCGATCTTAACGCGCCGCTGAGAGAGAAAAGACAAACCGAGAACAAATGGAAGGGAACTTTCCGCAACGCCGCAGTTGCGCCTTAACGTCGATGTGGCGTTGTTGTAAAGGATGGGCTTCCGTGGCCGTCTGGAACACTCTTCCTTCCGATAATAGTAATTCCATGGCAGCTATGCAGTTTTAAATCTCGATTGAAAACGGATTTCTTGAGAACCGCTTCTTGTCCTTCCACCCGCACCTCCCGATTGGCGCGGTTGGCTACGTACGGTGCGAAAGAAGTTCAATATACACACATACATAGAAAAATAAACTCAGTAAATGTTTCAGTAAAGCTGCCTTATTAGAAAACATTAATAACAGGCGACGATTCGGGCAATGGCCCTTCGTCCGTGTTCATGTTAAAAGTGCTCGTGCATCATCACTGCCAACACAGAATCACCAGACGTTTTAAAAAAGGAACACCAGTTGCAATGACGTCAGTGCGGTGTAATTGTCGTTGCCTTCTCTCTTAAAATGTTCGCGTTTCCGTGCAAGATTACACCGGTGTTGACATGAGCGAGGAGTGGAAAACGTGCTCAGATGTGGTCAACGTGGTCTCAGCGGAGCCAGAATGACCATCAAAAGGCGGTGAGAACAAGTCACCAGTTTGGAGGACCTTCGAGCTAAGATCTTCAAGGAATTTAAAATGTTTATGAGAATTGAGTTAACAAACTTGGAATCCCACAAACATTTTTTACGTAATCCCTATCGTGGAATTTAAAAGGCCCAGCGGTGTATAGATTCAGTGGGGTGCTAGGAATAAGCAAATTAATCAAAAGTTGAATCGAACGGTCAAATAAAATGACAGCAATGATGGCAGTGTGCTGCTACCGATAGTTGAGTGGTGGTGATGGTAGATTAGCAGTGATACTCATGATGGTGGAGGTGGCTGTGCGTGGCATTGATGGTGATAGAGATGGCGGTGATGGTTGAGGCGACTGTGATGGCATTGATGGCAGTGATGTTTGAGGTGGCTGTGATGGTAGGGATGAGATTGTGTTGCTGGAGGTGGCTATGATGGTAGGGATGAGATTGATGGTGGTGATGGAGGTGGCGGTGAAGGTAGAGATGGCATTGATGGTGGTGATGCTGGAGTTGGCGGTTGAGGTAGCTGTGTTGGTAGGAATGGCATTGATGGTGGTGATGCTGAAGGTGGCTGTGATGGTAGGGATGGCTTCGATGGTGGCGATGGTGGGACACGAAGTAGCGCTGGCTGCCAGAAAGTCCGCCTTGAGTGACGGCCCCTTTGCGAACCTGGCTGCCCGCCAATGCTCTTTGCAGACAATGAACGGTATTATCTTGCGTTTTCACATCCAATTCATTTCTCAGTTCAACAGAGGGTTGTTGAAAATTGACAAAAATTCAAGTCACCACACTGTTTGTCCTCTACACATTTCCAGGAGTCGTTTCGTTATATTTATTTGTTTTTGGTCCGCGATGTCTCGAGCGCGAGAATTCCCAGATGCTCAGACAGTGCAAGTTACCTGCTGATCGTTATCGGCAGGGTGAATATCTGTAGCACATGACACTCAATATCAATGATCTACCAACCAAAACGTCGCAACATTTTTTTTGTTCCACCCATGTTTTTCTTTCCTTTGCACCATTTTAATCGACCAACATTTGCAGCTCAACTGGCATTCATAAATATTGAACTTTTTCAAGTATATATAAATGTTTGCTTTTATTAGTTGGTAGCAAACTCAACAATGTCGCTTTTACAAACAGACACAGGTGAGCCAAAATAAAATAACAGTATTTTCTCTCAGAAATGAAACGTTTTTTTGGCAGAAAGGCTTAGCCAGGGAAAAAAAAAATATATATATATCGTGTTGTTATATTGTGGCATCGCTGTATATTCGCAGAGGTCAGGCTAAGATAAAATAAGAAAAACGATGAAAAAACATTTTCTTTTTAAAGATGTTTCATTTTATTATTCAGTAAATTTACCACAAAAACCAATGTACTTTCGAGAATAACTAAACCCTGGGCCAAGTTTAATTCAAGCATAACCAAGATAAATTGGATAAAGTGCCTCGTGTTCGATACACGAAAAGTTTCTCACGTTCAGAATACTTCTCAGCGCTTCCCAGCGTACGTATGCAACGCGAGAGGCATGGCAAACATACTAATTATTACGGCAATAGTTAGTGCTATTGGCATATATAGGGTTTGAGCGACGCTTAAATCGCCGGATCTCATTCTCAAAACTTTCCGATAGCCCGTCGCGCGGAGAAAGTGACGGCTGGGCCGCGCAGCTGCAAGGCGTGTATAATTCAGCCCATTATGGGGACGCGTCAGCAAAGGTCATTACATCCCTGCACGCCTCGCGCTATTGAGGCACAGAACCCCGGGGGGAAGGCTTACGGCATGTAATGGCTTTTGTTTGCGGGGCTCCAACAAGCCAGCCTCGCTCTTTTCACACTTCCCAACAATTGGTATCGCTGCTCCGGCCGGCCCACGGTGCACAGAGAGCGTGGTAAAACTCCACACTTTTAGCATTTTCTGCTCAAAATCAGCAAGACACCATTTTCTCCCCCATTTTATCAGTGGGCCCTTAATTCCCTAAAGCTGTCACCACACACTGCTAACGCTCAATATTATCTGCATTCTTGAGCACATTTCATACTGCCGGTAATAGAATTAGAGCCCGGAGCGATGAATGGGGCAGGTTTACTTTGGACAATGCAACAGTTCAGGGCGACACCGCAGGGGCAGCTCGCAAGTGCAACAACACTCTATTAGACATTATATTGGGCTGTGCGAGATCCTTTCAGAACAAGACAATTACCGAGCTAAGGCATTATGCCCCCCACCCCCCTTATTATACAACTTCCACACTGGACCTTTAAGAGTTTCCCTACAGAAAGAAGTCAAGTTTGGCTAAATAGATCTTTAATTAAAACAGCATTAGGACCTCTAAAGCCATCCATTGTTAATCTTGAGGGGGGCAAAGTTTTCACACCAGAACATTTCCCGGAGCAATATCCAGATCTTTGGGAGAAAGGACGTCGATTCAGCAGAAGTTATTGTGAACCCCTGATGGCTGCATTAAATCAATAGATGTGAAAAACGTAAGCCCCGCATTAAACACCTCTCAGAATTACGGTTCGGCATGTGAACTAAAGCAAGCTGATGGGACATTGTTAGTGCTGTCAATCACGGGATTTTTAAGCGGACCGCAAGTTTAACATCTCCCAGTCCAAGCCAACACACACACCCATGTCATCTTACCAAGTATAGCAATCATAGCTATGCTATGAGAGTATTTAGATCGTTATTCATTTAGAAAAAAAACCTCAAAACGTTGTTTTATGCACTTCACTCATAACATGCACGCCAGCGAGTAGTGCGCGTCTGTAAATAAAATGCTACGAAATGAGCGAAGGGCACCCAAACCAGCGGAAATAGATTAGTCGTGATATTTCCAATTCAGTTTTACAAATGGTCTTTTACAGTTGTTTCCCAGAAGGACAACCACAGAAACAAACAAAACTCTCTTCCCGAGAGATAAAAAGAATGCATAAAAAGTTTAGTATTCTCATCGCACCAATTGCCCCCCAAAAATTGGTAAGCTTTTGAATGAACTACAACTTAACGCCATGATTTGCAGAAACAAAAACGATAACTAGCTTGAGCCGGCCCATCTCAAGAAACCCTTTAAATGTATTTCCCGATTGCCTTATACACGCAATGTGCAAAATAGAGGTGTAGTAATTCAGTATACGAGCGATTGCTATGCCTACGATGCATACAAGCGCACGTGTAATAACGTTTTTTCTACGCGTTTATTAAACATGTAATGGGTTCATGTGTCCCCTGCAGTCAATAGTGGCCGCTACATTCCCCACAATATTTTTTTATCGAATTGCCAGGTTGGGGGAGGGGGGAGATGAATGTCTAGACTTCTGGTGAATATCCAACTCCCAAAAGTATTCATTTATTTGCGGATATGGCTGGATCTCTACTCCTCAAAGGGCCAGAGCAGTAATTTGCACCATCCAAGGTGGCAAAACTTTATTTATATGGCTAATAGGAGCGAATTATTTGCTAAGTCACTAACTGCAAATGGTTTATCACACAATTCACTGTTATTGGACAGGATATTGGAATCGGTAAAGTTATGCCACCAATAGTGGTACCAACATGTGAAATATCTGGTCTGGCCTCATGGACTATACTGCTTAACCTGGTTGAGGCAACTATTGCCATGAGAATGTGTCAAATAGCCTCATATATGCCATGAATGAATGGCCCTGCTAGATGACTTGTCATTAGCATTATCATCAATCACCAAAATAACGCCACCATGTACAACGCGTCTTCCACATGCAAATAATGTCCTGCGGCGCACACCAGGTAATGGGAGCAGCTAGTTGAGGTGACACACACACATACCACCACGCCCGACTCGAGATTCTGACAATTAACAACTGTTACTAACGCGACACAGCCGCGGTTTTAAAAACGCATCCCATCTGTGCTCTTAATTGATCAAGTCACTTCTTTATAAAGCGACATGGATTCCTGTATTTAAGTAAAAACTCTGCTGTTCTGTTTTCTAGTTCACATCAGATGTAAAGGGTTGATAATTTGGTTACGTACACATTCCTTCGGTCATAAATCTCAAGACGTTTCAACACTGCCAACTTCACAAATGACTGCCAGCATATCCCCTGAGCCCCCTTTCATTCACCAGGCCACATGTCCACACCTCCATTCTTCGTCTCCATGCAATTCTATTCTATCAGACGAGCCAACAGTGGCTCATCAGTTGCGTGCGGATCGATGGGAGGACGTGCTGCAATTTATTTACTAATCGATATAGCTTTGAAACAGGAAAAAAAGAAATCTGCCCAAGCAGGAGTGGGCCACGGCGCCAGACCCCTTGAAGCGGAGCCAGACACAAATACTCCTGGGACACTCACGCAGATTTCCACGTTCAAAACCCCCACACAGCCACTGGGCGCGAGTGAACCGACCGCATGATCACCATCACGTGACCCACCTAGGCGAAGGCCATTATGAATATTTTGGTACTCGGCTCACAGGGTCGGGGAAACGTGGTCAACCATTCGTGTTGCAACGCATTCAGACTTTACGTTTTACCAACACGGAAAAATTGCCATTCCTCTCTCCAAAAAACCCCGGCGCAATTCAACAGGCAGCGGGCGAAACGGGACACAAAAAAATCGCTCATTTATTTAGCGCTCGTGACCAAGCCCACCGACACATTGTGTGGCCAAATTCCCCTTCATAATGCGCGCGCTTCTGCGGAAAACTACCTCGGCGTGCAATCGCAGAGGTGGCCGCTTCCATTGACCAAATCCAAACTGCGAAAACCGTGCCGTGACCCGTCGCAACCCCCCGGTTTTATTTCGCCCACAAAGGGAACGGTGTCCTGGGTGAAGGTCTTTCCTGCTGCCTGTGTGGCTTGCACAGCGGGGACCACGGGATTGGTGGACAGGGTCACTACCAACTCCACGGCCTAACAACAAACATGTGCAAGTAGGCTTCTTACATGAGGCACCGAGCACACAGGGTTTACGGCTATGCCATGATGCACAATGTAATGCAAAGCAGCAGCAGCACTTTACTGCTATACCCCGTGTGTAAAAAGGGAAGCAACATTGTCGTGTTTTCCACAGCAAAGCAAAATCAGTACCTTCACTGTGGTGTTGGCCAAGAGACCAACGGGTGATAACGGCGCTGTTTGCATTGGATCCATAGCATAAATGCACGAGGTGCTGCAATAAAATGCACCTAATCGCTTCACACAACCAGCAACATGAATTGTCAAAATTTGCGGTCGCGACTCGATTCAGGATTGTATTATTTGTCTCACTGTACTTCGCCGCATGTACCGTGTCTTGTTTTTATTGTCTGTCTTGTAATCCCTGTAACATTTTTACAAGTCGTTTTAATGTTCCACCCCCGTCTCTTTTGGAATTGTCTAGCATGCACCGGTATCTTGATTGCTGCATTGGCCTCAATGTACTTCAGCATATTATCTGTAAGCAATTTCTTTAGACCAAAAATAACAATTCTTCGACGGATATTTTGACGAACATAATCATGAGGATCGTTTTAATCTATGCGTTGTTACATGAACGATAAACCAAAGCACTGTTGACCGAGAAATCACTTAAGACGGGTCTAAAACACAATGCCAAGAGAATTTGATCGTGCCACAAACCCAAAAATCTACTTCCTTTGGCTGTGCTTCCCTCGCTATCTGAACAGGAGTTACTTGATGCTTTAAATCAAATGACGGCAAAACCATCGCCCCCCTCCCCCCCCCCTGCTTATACATCACAAAGAGCTCACACTCACGGCTGTTTTGTTCACAGGGCGAGTGTGTGTGGGGTACGCTGGGCGAGACGCTGGCTCCGTCGCAGCGGCGTTCACCGGACATTTGTCAAAGGCGGGGAAGTGTGCGAGTGAAACTCATCACGCACTGCATCTGCCAAAAAATCTATAAGCCGACTACCCGGAGACCCGCAGTCACTTGCACATTCAAAACACTGCCTTTGGAGCACCTTCTTGCTCAGTATGTCAAAATGCAGTGCAAAGGGGGGAGGGGTGAACAAAAAAACCTTGCACGTTATATTGTTTAACTCACTGTCCCTATTTAACGCATAGGACATATATAAAATACGTGGACAAATGTGTCCAAATTGTTTAGACAAGATGAATAGAAATGCACTTTCATTCTCGTACAAAACTTGCAGTCTGTTTAATCTGCTGTACATATGTACACTGAATATCAAAATGATGTATTATATCACCATTCAATATGCTAGCGTAACAGCATCACACTGAACTTGCTACATTGGTAACAGTATTAAGGCAAACGGGACCTCATTATCGCCGTCACATTTACTTTACATCCCAACATCCTCTTTAGGCCACCAACCCTGCACCTAAAAATCTAAACTCAAAATCTCAGCCATGACTATCAAATTCTGTAGTCCAATTGTGGGCCTTAGAACTCAAAACACTTTGAGGAGGTGCGGGGGGTTAGGCCGGTGGATGGCTGCCATAAAACAGCCGGCGGGCAACATCACCACTTCGCTTTGGTCAACTCGCACAGTCGGTGAATCCGGACGAGCGCGACCTAGAAATGTGGCCTCGCTGCGGCCCGGCACCAAGCCTGACATGGCCCCATAGCCGGCCACGGCCCGCAGCCCCACGGACGAGTTCCTCGGTCGGCACATGATGGCCGAAGCAGCAAAGGTGGCCGCGGTTTCGCCTTGCGGAAGAGCCAGGTCGGCGGGGACAACCGAAAGGCGGCGCCAGAGCAGGGCCGCCCCTGCCGTCATGAGCTCCAGCCAGCCGCCAGCAGAGGCGTTGCCGGGGGTATCGCTCGAGTCTACCGCTGCCACCACCGCCGCCGCTCCGGGCGGTGGTGCGTTTGTCATCCGCCGCAGGGTCACAATTCCTCCCCCTCCTGCCCCTCCTGCCGCCGTGCCAGGGTGGTGGTCTCTCAACGCGGGACTCAACCGCGGCAGCCTGCTTTGCCCAGTGAGCAGCACCGCGGGGCCCCGGTAGCCGAGTGCCGCGCCATGCCGTTCGGAAAGTGCGGCGGGGCTCGCCAGGCCCGTGGCCTCTCCCTCAGCCACGCCCGGTGGGGCCGGAACGGCTGGATGAAGTGTGGGGACCGTGGCGGCGGGAAGCCCGGAAGATCCGTGCTGCTGCTGTTGCTGCTGCCTCGCGCTTAAAGCGCGGTGGAGCGCAGCGGTGGAGCCCAGTACTCCCAGCAGCCCTGCCACATAGACGACCCCGCAGAGACACGCCACCTGCCGAGGCACGCACAGGGGTCAGCCACAACATCCCGCTAGCCTGCCGGGGGCGGGGGGGAACCTGCGGGCCACACAAACAGCACGCAACTTCGTTTCTTACGGCCGACGACCGCGCAAAGGATCCGACCACACTTAAAAATTACCCACAAACGATATTTATTTAGCAGTCACTGTAAACATCTTAGCTGCACTGATCAGTTCCAGATGGGAAACATTTTAACTGGCCACAATGTATATATATTTTTTTGCAAAGACGAGCCTAAATTGACGTATTACTAGATAAAGCTAAGATGAGTGTTAATGTGTAACCTACCAAAGGTATTTCAAAGTCCTATTCGGTTTTCAGAAGGGAAAGGGTTAACCATCAACAATAGCATAAATGTAAAACATAATTACACAATGTACATTTACATAGCATTTTACTGGTAGGAACCTCCTGGTTACACCAGCCCACAGGGGATTATTGTGTCCGTCATGCAGGGAGAGGCTGGGTGGGGAGAGTGGGGAGGGGCTGGGTGGGGAGGAGCTGGGTGGGGAGGGGCTGGGTGGGGAGGGTGGGGCTGGGTGGGGAGGGGCTGGTTGGGGAGGGTGGGGAGGGTGGGGCTGGGTGGGGTGGGGCTGGGTGGGGAGGGGCTGGTTATACCCCTTGGTGCCCTTATAAAACTCAACGTTTAACCTACTCACACCGGCTTGTGCCCGCCCTCACAGTCGGGCATATTTGCGGAATACACCACGCCGCCGTTGACCCTGGCCATTGACCGAGCAACCCAACGTTCCTACCAGCTCCCTCCGCAGGAATGTGTAAATGTGACTGCATCTCAAGACACTTATGAATATCATAAATTGTAATTAATCCGTTTTTAAACTCACGTTCCATGAACGCAATTATACATTTTCATCCGAGAATTGATGCGTCGCTGTATGCCTACGTATGCTTGTTTCATCCTCGACGTCTGCCTTCACTACGACACCGTTACTCGATGGCTACGTTGTCCAGACACGCAACAAGAGAGCACACGCAGAGTCAATGGGCTCTTACTGGAGTTGAACTCCTGTGCGTTCCTTTCTTGAAGAGTTCATATTCATGAAAAGTGCGCACAGACAACCGTGCGTTGGAACTACCATCTATAGTTCGATGTAAATCAACAGTAATTTAATCATTCATCCCTTAGTAAATTGATGAACTGTGACAATTGAAGGTTGTGAGTTGATTCAATAATAATCATCCTTGTCATGTTTTTAACATGACGTATTGCTTTTATTTTTACTGCGTCTCATTTGTAGCCACTTTGCCACCATTAGCCCAAATATAATTTGCACTATTTTCACAGGTTGTGGGCAATACATTCCCACACACGATACAATTCAAGTTTAGTGCGCATAAGAATTGATTTTAAATCGAGGAATACATGCAATCTGACATGACGACTAAGAACTGTAACATTTAAACATCCGTTTCCTGTGGATGCTTGCCGACTTTGAAGTGCAGATAAATATAGCTAACCGATAAAAAAGACTGTTTAATGCAGCGGTCAACACTGCTTTGGACACTTAATTCTCAATGCTTGAATCAGACCGATGACGAATTTTTAGGACAAAGTTGAAATTCAACAGGCACGCTGTTCATAAGATTTCCAAGTTATTCAAAAAAGATGTGGGTGCAAAAAAGACGACGTTAAATAAATAAACGTCGCTGTTTGAACAAAAAAAACCCCACAAGACTCATGATACAGAAGTGACAGCGTAAATCTGCCTGGAAAAAAACATTTCAGACACGGTGAGTTTCATACAAATTTACCAAGCCCTCGGCAAACAAGCCTCGAAAGTGAATCAATATTTATCAGCAAGCCACATCCTTGTGCTCATACGTATAAATTAGCCCAGTAAAATAATTCCCCCATACATCAAGCGCTGTGTCTACCTCAGCAAACTGGCCGGCGGCAGGCAGGCAACATACACGTATCGTCCTGACAGGTTCAAACATTAACTATTTGCACTCAAAGATGCAATCAGATGTGTTTTTAATTTACGTTTGAATACTTCTCTCCGAACGTACAACTTTCAATGGCGAGATAGACATGCACAGCCACAGACAGGCGTTATCTACATATCTATCCGCCACCTGTGTTATTTGCCCCCACTGGAGGGCGAGTGTTGGGCATTCCCACGTTTCTGTCAAGTTGTGGCCTGCAAGCGGGGTACAAAGGATTCCTCTTTCTTCTTCTTCTCCTCGACATTAACATGCAAACACAAACGAGTGCAGCGAGCGAGCGCACAAAGACACAGCACCGTCATGTACAGAGCACGACAACTCCACAAACCAGACACGTGCACACGTAAAACACACACACGTTCTAATAAAATATAATCACTCGGCCTTTTATCAATCCATTGCTGAGCGAATGCCTCTCTATGTGTTTTGTCAGGAGGGGGTTTTGACTGTATCTTACCATGCTGATCAGTGCAAGTTGAAGCAGTGGGGGGGGGTGGGGGTGGCAGGACCAGTTCCGGTAATTCTCGCCACAGGTGTTAGCCACGGCAAGCAATCGAACTTAAGTCACTGGGTTCACTGCGCCATCCCAATCGCACCCCCCGCATTTTAATGGTTGCTTTAAATGAAAAACCAAAAATACCAAACAGCTCTAGGTATGTGAGTGTGTGTGTGTGTGGACACACAACCTAGACTGCGTGCCCCTGGGTGTCCGACTTGAGTTTGAAGCTTCGTTAATCAGAGGGCAAGTCTTTAAAGTCAGTGCAAGGAGTGGTCTAGCGAATTGACGATGGCATCACGGCGGTCATTTATAATGTCACCGCAGTAGTGTCTACCTTATCATGATAAACACAACTTCAGTCACATGTCAGACAGGCTAAGACACAGAACCTAACCGGTATCTCCAGGAGAACTGCTTGCTTTTGCAACTTATCTTCCTCTATGTATCGAGATGTTTGCTGTATAGTGCATTAGAGAATGTACAATATTTAACACTCGGAAGCCAACTATGGTAGTTGGGTCACATTGATAAACAAATAGAACAGCAGAAATATTTTTCAAGTAAACATTAAAATTGAACGACAAAAAGTTGAGTTTTTTTTTTCGATTTTGTATCAGAATAGTAAACATCCCAGGGTGGAGTAAACAATTTTTTAATTTAAAAGTTGGAGGAATGCAAAGAGGAAAAAAAACAACAAAAATGTACAAGAGTTTATAATCATTTTAACACCTCATCGGCAACTCTTGCTGGTCAGCACCAGGCTGCATTCAAAACTTCAAAGTTCAATTTGTGATTAACTATTTATTCAACTGATGTGGAAACAGTTCATATCATCACTCTGACTTTTCATAACCGATTCCATTGTACACATATACATGACTATGGTAAATCAGATGAGTCGCCACTTATTGTCCCGTGCAGACGGTGACAAAACAGTTAGAACGTGCGTGTGGAAGGCAAATAATAAAAAAAAATATCTCCACATATCTACGTCAAGTAGGGGTAAAGAACTCGTATACAGTCCGTGGGAATAGGAGGCCACTGTAAGCATCTTAGCCACACCAATAATCTACGACGTGTGAACATTCTTGACCTGGCTGCCACGTTTCTAATTTTAGCGTGCTCAGTAAAAAATATTTATCGGGGCCTCTTATTCAATATCGTCAAGGTGCGTGTCAATTTGCGGGCACCCCCACCCCCACCTCCCCGCGAAAGACATTTGAAAGTCGAAATTCAGTCCTCGGCAAGGAAGGGGTTCCCACAACCCCTGGTATAGAGCTCAGCTCCCGAGTGGAACAGGCCCGTCCCACCTTGGCAAACTGCAGGTAGAGCTGCGTGAGGGCCTTGCGGAGCGAGGTCTGGTCCATCAGCACACACAGGTCCATGTAGGAGAACCAGCCCCGCCACGTGCCCTGCTGCCACGCCACGCTGACGGTGGGTGGGGGACAACAACATCGCACAGCGGTGTAAGATGGGTGCTGTTTTTTATATTTTTTAATTACATTTCAAGGAGCCCAATACAGAGCACAGACCGCGAGGCGAAGGTTCGCGGGAGGGGGAATCAGAAGCTCCGTGGGCCTCAGTCCCGAACACTATGCACGTGGGTTTAAAACAGAGGGGAAAGTGGGCTCACTGCACTGTTAATATGAGTAATATTAAAATAAAAAATGTATGCGCTTTAATGAAATGTACCCTACTCGTAATGGCAGAACTCCACGAATCCAGGAAGTGGCCGCGAAGCTTGCCATAATATAAGGGACCGTGGTGATTTACAGCCAACGTCAGTTGAGCGTGGACAAATAGACCCAAGCCGAAACATAACATTTAAAAGTGAATGTTTAAAAATACCTTTTTTATTTTTTTGGTAGAATATAGTATTGTCGTCAGTATGACATAAGTATACCAAGTTTGCAGTAGATACCACATTGGGAAGTGGGTTAAAATTGAGTTAAAAGATTTGAGGATACGACAACGACAACAATGACAACAGACAGTGAGTTAAATAAAAGCGTGTAAAAAAGCGGAGTATTTAATGGTTGTGTATGCACAAGACAAAGATCCCCCTTATAGCCTGAATAAACTTTTGGGGCAAGTGCTGTTAGCGAGCACCTATGGACAAAACGGCACACGAAAGGGTGGATGGCCAGCACCACGACCTTTATCTCGCTCGTGGCGATGTTTACACACTGCACCAGGTACTCATTTGAGGCTGAGTCGACCTAGGGGAGGCCCAGGACTGGTTCAGCGAGAATCGAACTCTGAATACTGGGTTTGTAGTGCAGAGCGCTAACTGCGCGCACACGCCAAAAATTAAGTTTTCAAGGATACGCAATGCACTGTCACTCGCCCAACAAAAGATTAGTGAGCATAGAACTCAAGACATGTACGCATCTTTCAGGCACAGTCCGATGCATCGATTCATCGATTAAAATCGATTCTCATGCTCACGATACAATGCACTGCAGCAAGTACGAAAAACCGCTCATTTTCAACTTCTATGTTACATTTAATTGGCTAACGTTAACTCTCACGATGAGACGGGTTACATTTACTAAAATGGCAAAAGAAAAAGAATAGGTTACTGAATTTAACCGTGACCCCAAATCATCACTTCTCATCGAATTGTCATGGAGTGAATCATTACATGCTGGTTTGCCCCTAAAAACTTTATTAAACACATCAGCCCTAAGTGTCATGTAGATTACTTAAGAGCGCACGTTTCACAACACATCGTGTATCGTGTTGTGGTTCACGAGGTCAAGACCAGAGTGTGCATTGGGATTTCATCAGGAATTTTACCCTTTTGAGTTTGTAGGCTTTGAAGGAATGCAAAATTTCTGAAATGATTAACTAAGGCGGGCAGGCTGACAGGGATTCGCATTCAATCACTCACAGCCAACACAACTGTATCGTGCGTCAGCACAAGTACACAGCGGACGTTATGGGTACATTTCTTCATCGCGATGACATTTTCAAAATGTATTTTGCACATTGGTTTAGCAATTTTCTGGCGGTATGCGTGGCGTGAGCAACTTGCTCACAAGAAATCCAATTCCTCCAACGAAAAAAGGGCACTAAATCTTCAACTTAACAGTCCTTTTTAAAGAGTCAGATCATTGGAATCGCCACTTAAATGCAAGTGCAGAAGCCAATAAGTGGACGAGCGAGCAGAAGGCTGTGATGAATGCTCAATACAGTAGCAATTAGAGGAGCGCATGCGCACACAAGCACACCAATGCATGCGCATCCCAGCCCGCGCTGATAAACGTGCGAAAGATGAACAGGGAAACTACTTCTGTACAGCGATCCTACCCCATCCCCGTGCTCGCGTGCCCTGCAAACAGCCACATTCATTCATTTGTTTCTTTTTCTTTTCCTTTTTTCCACGGGACAGCCTCGGCGAATGTTTGTTTTTCTATTTTTTCCCCCTCCTCTGCATTCAGCAAAATTTGCAGCTAAGCAAACACGATGGGCGCTCTCCCATTGTTTATGCCACCCCTGATGTGCGGTGTAGAATTATTTCCTGCGAGCGGCACAAACTCGAATAATCTTGCCTTTTAGAGGAGTTAATCTGCTGTTATCGCTTGTAATCTTTTAACAGCATTAAGGGTGTTACAGTGTATCCTTTTCTCCTTAACTTGTAATTCCTCGGCCAGACAAAACAATCAAGAGCGGACTTTGTTCACCTGTTGGGACACGTTTCTCTCGAGTCGCCAGCCTTCTCCCCAGCCCTGACAATAACCTTGCGTGCACTTCTATTACCTCCGCACCACGTAGCTATGTTTCTCTAAAGACTCACTTTCCCCACAATAAATTTGAAGTCAGTCGAAAATGGCATAATGGAATTCAAGTACCAGTTATCCTTTTCACGAGAAGCAATGTAAATAAGTTTAGCGCACGTTTTAAACACAATTCAGTGAAATAAAACTCCCGACGTGAGCTGCAAAATAATTCTTACAAATTGCTTTAACCTTGTTTTACATGAACTGTTTAGTTAAAATTGGTTGCCACAACCCAGTTTATTTTTCTTCATGTAAAATATCCGCTGGGGTGAAACTCCCCTTGTCAGCTCAATGTAGATTTGAGACTGCTACAATCTATGAGTATATTAGCATTTATAAAGCAATATTATGAGCGCAAATGTGATTGTCTATCGTTGAGACCAGACTGAAAGTCTTCACAGCTTCTGCAAAGAGGCCTGGGTAACACCAGTTATTCAGTCATAAATTAGAATTAAATTGCGTAAAACGTGACAAATTTTTATATATTTTACGGTGCTGACCACGATTTTTTATTTAAATTACCACGTAAATGTGAACTTTCATTAAAGAAAATAATATTTTCAAATTAAATAACGTTTGAGGAAGTTATAAGAACTAATCGTGCTGAAATATTATTACGCGTGAGTTAAAATTTTTAGGCGTATATTTTCCCATGCTGCTGTTTGGTAAAATTATCCATCCTGATCTTGCGAACGCCCTGGTATTTTGAACATTTCATGCAATGCTCCACACGCAGCATGCGCTGCAGGCAACACTTACGTTGATGACGCAACTTGCTTCAACCCAACTCAAGTTACACCTTTAGCTGTCAAATTCCAACTGAGCGATTGTGTGAAATACTAAACAATGTGTGAACATCTGAACGTGAAAACGGGTTGTAAATGAGGATTTTGAACGTACGCTGGTGCAACAAAAACCTTCACGTTTTCGACGACCATTTTTATGCAGTTCATACGAGTGGTATAATGGTACGAAGTTAAAGATTTAGCAGCGATGGCATTGAAGAGGCGATGGCGGTAACCCCCAGCATGCAAAATGAACAGCATGGGACCTTTCCTAAAATGACTTCTTCAGTCTCACAAGTCCTGGAGGGCTCCTACCCCGTGGCAAGTTAGACACCCGTCTTGTGACCTCCACACACACACAGACAGCCAGCCCTCTCTTCTCTCTAGCAGACCTTTTCCCCCCCCAAGCTCAACCCAATGGAATGACAGCAACAACATGCCATTTGGGGGGGTGGGGGGTGAAGATGCTTAGCTCAGATAAGGTCACGCCAGCAGAGCCCCAACACCTGAACCGTCTGATGTGCTTAGTCACCGGGAAGAGGACACCCGAGATTTGGTCACAGCGTCTGCACAATGGCCGAGCACGCACTTCAAAAATTAACCTCTTAATTTGGTTAAGGCGAGTCTCGTGTGTGTGTGCGCGTGTGTAGCGTGTTCGCACGGGCGACGGGGCAGCGTGGAATGCGCCCGCACGGGGGGCAAAGGCGGTGGGGGGGGGGGGGGCGCGTTGCTCCACAGGGCTCGCCGGGGACGTTCGCGCTACGGCCGCAACTATCTCGAAGGCTCGCTGGCAACGGTTGCTAAGCGCCACGCGGACTCGCGGCGAGGATTTTCGCGGAGTAAATTTTTAGGCGAGTCGCTGTCGTTGAAATTCCGCAGGAAGGAACTTCCTCCACAGGCCAACAGGCAGTGCCGAAGCAGCGTACAATTTGCCGACAGACAAAGTGTCGCCGGCAAGTCGCGAGGCCGGCTCCCTCTGAGATGACAGGTCCTCACCAAAGCAGGGCGACGTCGACAATGCGTCTGCTTCTGTGTTCGCGATGAAAGGCCGAAAATAAATCCCCTTTCTCGCCAGGTAGGATGGACAATGAATTATACCAAAGGGCAAAAGATAACCAGCGTCGTGACAGACAGCAAAGGGCCGGCTTATCTGCGCGAATCATCAACAGCAGCCGGCGGGACTCAAATCCCCCACATATTACGCTAGTCCACTTAAACGCTTAAAAAAATTAATTAAGGCGATGGCGTAAAAGAAGGAAAAAAATATAATAATACCATGGGGCATGCGTGACAGGTCGAGGCTGATAGCATCAAGTCAATCAATGCGGATGTGGCCTGACATTTATTCCGTCGCCCAGAGAGAGGCGGAAAAAAAAATTCACACGTATGGTACGCGGCATGATTGTTTCACAGGTGAGTTCAAAGCGAGACCAACGCTTCCTGCGCATACCTGCCCTCCAGCCGGCTCAGCAATCCGAAGAAATCGTGAGGACGGACAAACAGATCCCAGTCCTGGCAGAAGAGAATAAGAATGTGAGCGTACACAAGAGAAAAAACACGAAACGACAAAAGATCAAAAGAAGAATATTTGTGACCTATCAGATAAACACAGTCCATATGTTGTTGATTAAAAAACTCACTTCACTATCTTTTTTTATGACACATTAGCATTTTTTTTATACAATACGGTCATTTAGATATTCTAGTTTAACCTCCAAAAATGTGCTCGTCTAGACAAATTATAACGAGTTGTATAATTACGACAGCGCTGTAAAAGGGGTGCTCAGGATTGAGTCATACGATTAAAACGGCCACACAACCCGCCTAGGTCACAACTTGCATGAGAATATTTATTTTCTTCTCTGTGGCACCACAAACTAGAGCACCACAGCCAAGCTGGTCTCATCATCACCATATACAAACTTCTCGTTTTGTCCTCTGAGTGATCATCCATTTGCGTCAGTGTCCAGGCGGAAGCCTTAAGAGTGTTTTGCCCCAAGAGTTAAGTTTTCCCACATCGCACTGTTGCTTGGCATTTATTCAAAGGGAAAGCCACCTCACAACGCTGAACACACCGCGTCCTCACACGACGAGGGGAGGAAGGGAACAGTACATTTTTCGCAGACCAATTTGAAGCAATGTGTTCTTATCAAATGTTTTCACTGCGCGAACTCACCCGCGCGAATGTTAAAACGTCATCAAAAACCCAGTAAAAACCAAAGTGTGATCTTGCAGCGGTGTTGCGCAAGTCCCTTGCATGTGTGGGTTAGTGCGTCGCATCTCACTCACAATGGCCTGCAGGAATGCCATCTCCAGCGCGTTGACCGTGTCTGTGTCCAGCTTCCCGGCCGTGCCCCATTCATCGTTAAACACCTCCTCCTCCTCGCCCTCGTCGTACAGGTACTTGCTGGCTACCATCTGCAAGAACAAACACAGATGCACAAAGATCCTCAAATAGCTACGTTGACCAGGACAGGTGCCGTTAGCAAGGGCGACTAGCACCGCTCCTGGCCACCTTTTTCTCCCCAGTGCCGACGTTTACGCGCCACACCAGGTATTCACCTAGGACTAAGTCGACCTCCAGGTCCAAGATATATTTAGACGAGATTTGCTATAATAGTTATCCATGGCCAGGCATTGAAGCCAGGTTTCTGGGTTTTTAGCGCAGAGGACCAACGACTGCATACACATGGCGGATATAAGGTGTGATCCATTTATAGATACCCTGCTAATGTAATCAGAATAAAGTATTGTGAAAACAATATTTTATATCAGAGCCTCTACACGTCTCCCACTAGTCACAACAAACATATTAAAAACGTTTTAACACTTTACTCTGTAAGATATTAAGCCATTGATTTCACAATATTCAATCAGCTGCCGAGAAGAAGAGTGATGAATTGTAAATCGGTGGGAGATTTGTAAACTTGATCACCCTGTATGTTTCTCCCCCTTTAAAGCCTGCATGGTGCAATAATTCATTGGAAATGTTTGTGAGCAGCCCTACACATGATGAGCAAGAGGGGCCAACCAACACTGACAAAACACACCTCCTGCAGGAATTTGGTTTTAGACTGCGGAGACCCATTGAATAAAATATTTACAGACAAGAGGTCTTCTCACGTGCACGAGTAAGATTCAAACCTTGCTCACTGGGCACACACACATATAGGTCTGACAAACCGTAACTACGTAAATATACATAAGAACACAGTCACAAGTTAAAAATGTGTACACGCAAACACTACCACAGACAAGTGAGCATATACGACCGCATGAGCAAAGACACACACAAACGCACGTCTTATTACAAACATGCAGAACTCACAATGACCTCTTCCCGCACAAGCTAGCAGGACCTAGCCATGTCTAATTGTATTTAAAATGCATAACGGTACAGTTGCAAGAGTACAAATACAAGTTTATAAACTGCAATGAAATTAAAATAATACAAATCAGAGATTTGTTTGTCTGTATAAGCCGGAAAAAACAGAAACGGCACAAAAACATCAAGAGCTGCGACTAAACATGTAATGATGCATTTATTCATGATTAAAATGTATTATTTCGTTCATGATAAACACATCAAATAATGTGTTGGAATCCGTTATTCATGACCAATGTGAATTATACTCAATTTATATATTTATTCTATAGTTAGGTTAATGGACAGACAGAACTGTCCATATCATAAAGGCTCAGAAAATACTCACGAGATAGTTAACAGTGTGATAAAAACTCATTATACTGATTTAATCGCTTTTTTGTAGCAGGCATGAATTGCTGCATCACCAGCAGCGACTACTGCAGCGTCAGTGCAACTGACAGCGCTAATAACGCAAATTTCCCAACAAAGAAAATAAGCGACAAAAAAAATGAAAGGCTTCTGTTGGAAACAAGCACACCATGCGAGCTTGTGCCCAGGGGACAGACGGGGACGGACGATGGTGACGTGGTTCAGCCCAACAGAGGAAATGTAAAACACAAGACAGCTCCTCAACAGAAAGGCGGTGCCATTGATCTTGGGCAGCCAGAGGATAGAATACAACTAAAAAATATTTTTTCTTTTACCAGTTAAGTCTCAGTGAGCGAGAAAGTAATTTTCAGAAGTGACCTGGTCACAAATGAGAACCCAACGAAATGGCTTATCACGTCGAAATTTATAGCAGCCAAATACTCAATACGAATGTCGATTCTAAATGTGGAGGGAAAACCCGGAGGACTAGGGATAAAAATCCATGCGACCACGGGGAGAACACGCAAACATCAAATATACAGGCGTCAGGGTCGGGATCGAACCCAGGACCTCCTGTATACCAGGCGAGGAAGTTCACATCTGACCACCACATTGTGCAATGGGGCACGGAGGCAAGGCCACGTGGCAGGAAGTCCAAGACAGGTTCCCAAGTAGGGATATTTTTGGGAGTACGGCTACAACTATAAACAGACCTAATTGGCTCGCTTGCACTCAGCAGGCTGTGGCGGCAGCAGCAGAGGCAGGGAAGGCCGACCTTGGCTCGGCAGCCATGAGGGGAGTGCTAGCGCGGCGCTTCTTTGAGAATGTCTGTTTCTGGAGCGGGGGCAGATATTTAAGGCGCGCAGTTTACATGCGGGTCAAACGAGAGACAAGACTTTGGCCAAGCAGCCACTGGAAGTCAGGAAGCCGTCTTGTCAATAGATAAAGGGAATATTTTTTTTTTAGAACTAGTGCAAAGTTTATAAAAGGGATTCTAACTGATGCCAAATTAAGATCTTGGCGGATGTGTGAAAACGGAAACAATGATCGAGGCGCGCGTCCATTTGTCGATGACTGCTTGCTCGTGTCCGAGAACTTTTGTTCATCGCAATTCGATGTTTAAAAAAATGTGGCTGGCTGCTGTTAACCAAAAAAAATGTTTTTTTGTCTCTCACAATTACCACAGCTGCAACCACAAATTCACATCACATGTTGCTGTTCGGACATGGAAAAACCCTGCCATCAAATTGATCAGTTTTTTTTTAAAGGACTTTAAAGTACTAAATAAGAAAGATACAAGGAACCATTTGGTTTGGGAGGTGGGGGTGGGTTTTTTTTTGCACACGTAATAATGATGTTGTGTTTTCCCAGGGCTGTGAACTGCATGCTATTAGAGCTCCACTTAAGAGTCAGTGGACACATGTCAAGCCCCTCAGCCCAAGGTTAGGCAAACCCAACCTCTGGCACCTGGGACAGAGTGGAGTGGACCGAGTGGCAGCAGAGGTACTCTGTCTCGAGCCAGAGCGCTGCCAAGCAGCACTGCGGCGCGCGGGAGAGGGGAACCGGCGGAGAGGATGAAGGGTGGGGGTAGAGAGACTGGGGGACTGCGGGGTGAGGATGGAAGCAGGGGGCGGGGGGTGGCTGTTTACCCAGTGCTAACGTACTGCTTCACGTTTGCCCTAAAGATCAGAGCAAATGACTTGCAGCTACAGTTTTCGACATTTCTCGCTCGCTCCGCTACTTGACCAACTGCACGATAAGTTAATATGAAACGTTACACCGGTGAGCTGCTCACATAACTATGCCAGTTGCCCGCAGTAATGTTTGCCTTCTGTGCAAAAAGTGCAACAGGAAAAAAATGTGATAAGCATATGCTTTGTTGAACGTCGCTTTTTGTTTAACTTTAACTTCCAAAACACACCCGGAAAAAAACACTGGGAATTAAATACACGACGACGACTAATCTAACGGAAGTCCAATATTTATGTACATATATTGTAAGTGCGTAAGGGTATTTGACACTGTTGGAAATTGGCGTACAAAGTGCAAGTGTAGAAGTACGCATTGTCCTGTGCTTACGCCGTATGGATAACACGTATAATTCACACACCGTGATTAACATCGGTTTAATATGGTGCCGATAATAATCACATTAAATAATACATTGCTATAATTGTTGTATCATAGAACGTATTAGTAGTTTGTTTTTCCTAAAAAAGCTAAAAAAATATTAATAAAACAGAAACATTTAAACAATTTTAAGCACGTTTTCTGACAAATTCGCTAAAGAATTCAGTTGCCTTAAATTCCGTCTGAAAAAAAACATCACGTTAAAATCAAATACAACTCTCAAGATTGTAAGAATGAAATCTTTCCTTGCACCTCTACAAATAAACACGCATTCTTGAGTCAAGCCTCCCCATTATCTGCCTCTCGTGGGAAAGCACTGAGCCAGGATTTCGAGGGTGCACCTAATTCATGAACACTCCCCGATAATTCTGCCCCATCTGATAGCAAGAAAGATAGCCGCTGAGGCAGAGTACAGATGCCGTACGCACACCGCAAAGCAAAGACGACACGCCGGCGCAAAAGAAAAAAAAATGGAAGTCCTGTAGAATGGGAGAATGGGGGGCAAACCGTCAAAGCATCCCTAAAATGCTCAGGCCATGCTCGACAACAATGGCAGATGTTAAACAGGCAGTGGACTTGTTTTTGCACTCACAAGCCAGCGAGAGAAGTGCTGAGTTAGCAGAGAGCCACATCTCTGCACATCACTCAGCGTGCAGATTATCCAGAGCCCCGCATTGCTCTACTAAAGGATTCACTTTGGGCTTTCCTTGTTGTTATTTCATGTCGCTTCTCCCACAGTTTGTTACTGCCGTGGTTGTTCCGTGGCAGCCGTATGTGCATGTGTGTGTATGCAGGTGTGAGCCTAGGTGTCATCGACTTAATAAAAGTTACTCACATAACCATAGCCACTTTACATGAAATGGGTAAAAAAATGTGAGGCCCAAATAGTGTCCAGAACATTAAATAATTGATACTTCTAGTTTTCCGAAACGTCCTAGAAATGTAAAATGTACAGTCCATTTGTCAATCCACTGCTGGATGAAGGTCCTGCCATGCTGTGCTAGTCATGGGAGTTGTGTGACCGTATTTCATCACGTTGGTCATTGAGGGTTGGTGAAGGGGGGGGACAAAGACAGTTTCCTATATCACTCGTCACTGACATAAGCATGGCCTGGAATCCAACTTATTTCGGCAGGTTCATAGTGCAGTGCACTAACAACACCACGGGGCTCCATCCCATTTTGAAATATCTTAATTACAAAAGAGAAAATTCAGAGAAAGAAGCACTGCAAGCAAGTAACGATATTGTTGCTATCCTGTCCTCACGTACAAATAACCAAAAGGGAGAAATTAACAAGGCAAGGTCACAGTGACTTTTCCCCTTTAAATATGAATTGTATAAAATATTAATAGTGGCGCATTCAAATATCAAGAAAGCAGTTGGAAAATCTGAAGATAGGTATGAATAAGCCCCCATGCGCCTCATTTGATGTTGCTACGCAATAAAATAATCACGAGTCAATATTACAATATTGACGACCAACATGAACTGCTTGTTCGTGACTTTCGGCACAAACACACCCACTATGCTCATAACTTTATGGACGATCATTACAACTCTGCAAGCAGCCATTAAACATTCTACCACAAATTCAATGGGGCGAAGTACTACTCCACTAATTATAATACATTGCTCAATCACAAGATCAACACAATCAATAAGTCAATTACGTAAGCAAAAATGCAATTCAAAACAATGTCCCCTCTCCAAAATTCCAAGCAGTGAAGGCAAATAAGTGTTTGGAGTCATCTGTGTACAGTGCACAAAAATGTGTGGTTTGGAGGATAAGAACCACACGCCACGCGAACAAACAACTTTAGTCAGAGAGCACGACAGCTCATGAAAAGGGGGACGTGAAGGAGGAATCCCAATTCCTTGCCAAAACACTGGGCAACCCTCACCGATCCTTTTCCAAAGGCATCACACGTCCACCGATCCGAACACAGCTATTTATAAGCCGCATTCCTCGAAACCACCTTGCAAACGAGCTTCTTGTAAACGTGATTAAACACAGCTATCCTGTATAAAATTTCATACGTAAATGTTTTAAATTTATTTCGCGAGATAATTGTGTTTACGCTGCTGGCTTAAGATGTTCTCAATAAACATTATTAAGGGTGGGTGGGTGGGTGAGGGAGGGAGCCAGGGAGGGAGAAAGGGCGGGGAAAGCGGCGGATGGGGAGAAAACACACCATGGAAATGAGAAAGAGGTCGGAGGAGGAGATGTTCTGGAGGTACTCGGGGTTACGTCTCTTGAGTCGCTCGATGTACACGACGGCCAGCATCATGGCGCATGGGGATACGCATGCCTCCCTGCTCTCACACACACACAACACAGATGCCCCATTCCGTCTTATTATCAACCCTAGGAGTTGACTGATGTTAGCAAGCAGCTGTTAAGGTTGGTGTGGTGCACTAATGGGATAGTGTGACCAACGCACATGCAGTTGCTTTATCTCCCCAGTGCTAACGTTGGTACAATGCACCAGGTACTTGTATAATGAGGATGAGTTTAAGAAGGGGAGAGGCTGGGACAGGTTCAAATATCACTTGCCACCATTGCTGTCAATTGGTCGGGAATCGAATATAGGTCATTGGGTTGATAGTGCAGTGGGCGTACTGCTGCACCACTACGCATGCAGGCACACAACACATCTAAAAGCACTCCCATGCAGAGCTCTGTTTTTAAGCAACATGTTGTTTTGCTTGGTTATTCGCCCCCGGTTTTTTTGCATGGCCATTCCACTCCACTGTGGATACTGTGTCTGTAATAACAGTAGTTAATAGAAGAATCAAGATAACGAGAAGTCTAACAGAGAGCAAGCCACTAGTGTCCAACATTTTTTATTCTTTCCACAAGTAGACTCATAAATAACATGCTTAAATAATGATTATTTCTTATATGCGAGGAATATTATGTCAGTGTAAAATCACCAATTTATCCAATTAGGCTACGCACTTACTATTTAGTTTCAAAGTAAACTCAAACAGTATTAAGCAATGAACCTACATCACCCGCCTTCACCACCACTCTCCCACAAGGGGATTGATAATGGCCGACTGCCAGGCTCAATTTAACATGCAGTGAACGTCACGCGCAGCGCCACAAGGGACACCTCATCACTAATAAACGCTTTCTTTCTGCCTTGTTGAATATTTATGAAATGCTTAAACCTTAATGCTCAACAGGCAGTGTATATTTTAACACTCCCAGTGTAAGGTACCGCTGCATTCACCTTTGCGCACCCTCGTCTATATGCAATTTAAAGGCTCTGCAAAAAGGACAAGTTCTTAAAAGACAAACAAGGCCACTCTAGTTCGACTTCGTGACTCGAATTGAAAAGCCACAGTGATGCAAACAGGAAGTGGCCAATCCAGTGCTGACGACATTTACAAACCGTTGGAAAAGAAAATCACAACACTTGTTTTATTTACTCGGAATTGAGAGGGCCATGCCAAGCGCCGCACTGTTAAGAAAACGCACCAGGGTTCGCGTAAACAGAAAATGCTAATAAATGACACCCATCATTAGTTCTTATTATGGGAATGGCATTAAAATGTCCTGTGCGTTATCTTGCCGTGATAATCGTGCACCACGGGCTGTGGGAAGAGTACATGGGCACAGTTTACACTGAGCAAGATAACCTAATTGAATAAAAATTTTAATCACCGATTTGCATACCTGCGTTGAATAAAATATAGGGGAAAAAAATAAGTACAGGCAATTACAAATTATGATTGTTATGAAACCCAGACGCAGGCGTGATACATCACACGTACGAAATTATTTGCGATCGCTGGTGAATAATTATCACAATGGTTAATTGATACCTGGAGAATGTCTTCATACTTTTTGAGTTTGGTTAATAATTAGTTCACCAAACGATGGGGCAAGTGTTGAGCACAAGCCGACGGCAGGGCTTGGCAGCGACATAAACCGGCAGATCTGGCTGCTTGCGGAGGAACGAAGGAACAGGGCCGGCGTGTGTGTTTGTTAAGGTGCCACTTAGGTTACCTGGCAACGTGCAAAGCATACTTTCTCTGCAGCTTTCTCATAGGGTTCGGTGCTGCGTTCTGGAACAGCTCCACAGCAATATCTGCACGAAGAAAAGCGGAAAAATTATTCTCTAAATCAGTATTATTGAAATCAGAATCATGATGCCATCAATGCCTTAAAATCTGATACAAAAAGCGAAGAGGTGCAAATATATAGCGAAATAAATGCCATGTTATAAGTAAGACAGTCGTGAATATCTGTGCACAAGTTTGCAAAGATGCACGACTTTAGTTTAAAAACACCAGACTACCACAATACCTCATCCCCCATCTCAATGGAGAATGTGCAATGAAGTCTGGTGACATTGACAAATATTTCACGACAAAAGGCTAACTGTCAATTATCCAGCTTAACTTTTGGACTTAATCATGCTCACAATCAATATAATATTTTTCACAAGCAGGTTTAATTATCAGCTGTGCCTAAAACCCTGGAATTTATGACTCCTTGCCAACGTGCCAGCAAACATGTTGACAAGTAAACCGATTAGGTTAATAAGCAATAAAAACTGATGGCATATTGTACATCTTCACGCTCAAATGAAAACAAACATTTCTACCTATGATTTACGTAGGGTTTTTTCACAATCCGTGTTTTTATTTTATGCAGACCACTCCACTTCTCGATTTTACCCCAGGTGATGAAGAGTTGGCACACACGAAACTTGAATGAGCAGGTGTTGGCTTACCAGCGACCGGCCCAGAGAGACCTTCCATTCTTGGATTGACGTCATTTCTGTAATACAAAGTCTTCTGGAGCCGTTCCCTCAGCCTCAGATGAGCCGATGAGAACTTCTTATTGCAGGAAGAGATAAAAACGTGTCACACAATTACAACCGTGCAATGCCAAAAACAGTGGTTAAGGAGGCAGATTCTACGGTGAACGTTTTCAACCAGCTTTTCGTGAAATACATGGAAAAGCATGTCGGTAACATTGATTTGAACCCACAAAACACTGGCTTTTCATTAAGTATATGTAACTTAGTTAATTAACATAAACATGTATCTGTACAACTTGAGTAACTTACCATTTTCCAAAATCAGATTTTTCTTAACCTTTAACAATGTATTCACTGTAGTTTCCTGAAGGAAATTTTCCTTAATTATATAATATCTGCCTATCCCATGAAGTTAATATTTTACTTATTCTTTTGCAACCGTGTCAATAACGAAGTTACTCAATGAAATATAGAGGGCAGATACACGGTTTTTTTTACTTGTTTGCGAATAATATATTTTGGAAGGCTAATTCCGTTTTTATCTATATGAATGATTTTGCAAACAAAAAAGCTTTTAATTCAAGTGGTGCTTATTCAAACCGACAAGTTAACTGGAAACTTTGTAAAGTGAACGCAAGCCTTTTAGAAAATAAATGTCGTAAATATCGTTGCACAATAGCTTAACAATGGATACAAACAAAACACACCCTTTCTCCGGATAATAGGCCTCCTGTGTATTTTTTTATATATATGCTTGACGTAATGCACTGCAAGTAAATGTTACACATCACATAAACACCACCCTGTCAAATGTTCAACCTACTCGAATTGCGTCATTGTTATTAAAACACAAACGCACACCGATGACCATATTTCCACGAAATACATTTTATGCCAAAGAGCATCCCAAAGATGAGCACGTGACATTCGGTAGGGAAACAGAGTTGCACAAAACAAATTGCATATTGTTTATATACAAAATGTCCTTGAAGGATAAATGGTGAAAAGCCAAGAATCTTTTGTTAATCTGAAACGGATTTTTCATTCTGGGACGCAAGCCTTAACACTCGGAACCTACCGTAATTCTCTTCTCGGCTATAAATGCGTTTCTGCCAAAATAAGCTGGGGAAAAAATTCCCTCAATTGTTGTTCTTTTTCGCAAAAAATAAATGTGCTAAGTTTATGCGAACACTACTAGCAGGGCTTAATTTTTTTTTTATTCAAATCTGTTATTCGACAATGTATGTATGTATGCATGTTGAACGTATTTTTGCACCATACGTAGACAACCGTGTTAATCACAGGTGAGGGGTAGTGCAATAGTTTGAATCTTGGTCATTTTACTGAATGCATCTTATATGTTAGCATAATTAATTTATATACTAAAATGGAATATGCATGCTATATTATGCCAAGTAAGATGATGTCAAGCATCTCGAGAAATCTAACCAGATAGGATGTACGTTGTAAGACTCAAGTTTCTCTGGAATGAGGCTTTGAGTCAATGGGCTGTCACCTAGTTTAACTAAATATATATCTAAGGTGCTAGTGCATATAACGAACGGTCAATGTGTGCATTATTGCAGCGTGTGAAATGCTAAGATAGTTTGGCTTAGCTCCATGAGCCTCGTACACGTCCAGTGAATCTTAAAGAAAGCAAAAACACAATTCTATTCTGCTATGGTATTATCAAAGGCTATAAACAGAGTACTGGGGACTGCCATTTGTGCCTGGAACTGCAGTTTTCCCACAGATGCAGAGCAAGAGAAGCGGTCATTGAAAATGTAACCCCCTAAACTTTAAATCGAATTCAGAGTCCAACACCGTAGAGCTTAACCCTAACCACCCATACTCTTTGGTTCTTTCGGTAAAGTCACGTAGGTATAAAAATAAAATAAATCACGGCGTTTCGGGCGCAACACAAGCGTCCGGCTTCAGGTGGGAAAGCATGGCCTGCTGCTGATGCAGACTGTTTTACAGGTTTGAAATGGGTGTAGCCCAAGGGTTATAAAGGAGTGGCTGGGTCTGGTGATGTTAATGTGAGAAATTACCATGTAACTGGGTACGGAACTGGGTACCTAACCACCCACTTTTGAATGTAACCCCTAACCAATTCGAAAAAAAATGGCTCCACTTGTTATTTGGGTTGCTGACCCCTGGCCTAACCCTACATGAAAACTAAAGTTTGGAAAGGACTGCTACGAGATAATCAAGCACAACCCAAGATCTGTGATTGGACGAAAATCTGTTTTATTATTGGATACAAATCTGAAGGGGGGGGGGGGGGGAAGTTGCCATTTCCAGAACTGCATATGCTGTAATACTGTACGTCCACACATTACACACTGTAATACACACACAGCAGCATTACATGAACATATTTCACAATTATGTCAATTATACGTCATCATATTTCACAGTAATGTCTAAGCCTCATGAATTACTGCACAGTATCTCCACGTTTGCCACGATAACTGCAACATTGATGGGCATCATGCATCCCATCTACAGTACACATACCGGTGCAGTATGTACAATTAGATACGTTGTACAACAAAATCGATTGTTGTGCGGCACCGTTCCCACTTGCCGCTCACGGCCAGCACCAGTGACGAATATCTGAACCGGTCCTGGACCTCCCCTAGGTCGACTCAGCCTTATGCAGTGGTGTGTATGCGTCGCCACTCAGGAGACAAAGGCGGCCGGGCGTGGTGTTGCCCACCCACCCCCTCGTGTGCCGTGCCGGCCTTCATAGGTGCTACTCAGCTAACAGCACTTGCTCCTACAGTCAGTCAAGAGGGGATGTGTCCCCTCGCATGAATACGTATACGGGATCGCATAAGACTATTACAAACCAACCTACGTACGTGACTTTACCGAAAGAACCAAAGAGTATAGAGTATATAGCCTTACAAACACTGTGGCGATCACGAGGTAACCACCGTCCACTGTACCGTACAGTACAAGTTACATTAACGCGACACGTCCAAATCACAACACACGAGCACCACCACCACAACGCACACCCGTCCAGTGGCGCAAAGTTAATTAACTTTAGAACCGAGAGACACAATTAAATCGCGACAAACACCCAGAGGTGGGGGGGGGGGGGCCTCACCTCGTAGGCCGCGTCCTCGTTGAGGCCGGCGTAGGGCGGAGGCGGGAACGGCGGCTGCCCGTCCATGTACATGTTGCACGCGGCTCTCGGCTGCTTGGCCTGGAGGGGGGAGGGGGTTGTTGTCGCACTCCTAACGAATCACTCGGTTGTTGTTATTGTGACGGGTGATTTAAATCGAAAGTATAAACGTGTTTGGTGACGCGGGGCGGGAGAAGCTAGCGCCTCCAATATGGCGCCTGAGGGAGAAGAGTTCCCGGGAGGAGACGCGGGGACCGCGGCGATTTGACGCAATCCCGCTACACACCGCTACCCCTCGGGTTGGATTTGACGCGGTCCCTAAATATAGCAGTAATAATGACTAATTCTATACGATTATAGATTACGCGACTAATTGCTTGGAAATGAATCGAATGATTTGGTGCCGTCGCTGTTGTTGGCAGCGGTGCACAAGCACAATTAACGGTAGCAACTCAACACATTCGTCAAGAGCGTTGCGGCCACGAAAAGTAACACATTTTAAAATGTGACGTTTCGGGCAATGACCCTTCATAGCACATACAACTTTTCACAATATAATCCGTACGATATATTACATTCGTCTACCAATGCGAATGAGAATTGTGCCAAGTCTAAAGAGTTTGTATCTACCAGCAGATGCTGGGTACGGCTGGTCAATACAATCATCTAATTAATAAACTAAACAAATCCAGTCATTTTGAAAGCTACTGCTGATTTAAAGTGTCCCCACTATGCCCAGCCGGTCTTGTTGGTTGATTGACATTAACGCTAATGTTTTGCAGCGGCCGGGAATGGAACTCAGGTCGCCTGGTTGGTAGTGGGGTGCGCTAACCACTGCGCCACCGCTCCTCGCCTTCACAGTTGTATAACACTCTCTATGACGCTGGTTGGTGAAGAAGGGAGAGTGGGGGGGAAGGAACATTTGAAATATGAATTGCCACTGATGTCAGCCGTGGCCTGGAATTTAATTCAAGTGGCCTGTTTGGTCGCCGCTTTGCCTTGTTGATGTTTTGGCTATTACCGCATTACTGAAATTAAAGCGGAGGAAAAACACCGCGTAGATTGTGACCCAGAGTAAACTTACCGTGACGTGTGTATGATAGCCTGTCATACCATACACACGATAAGACACTTGAGAAACAGTGTATACGCCACGTGTATCCCATCACATCCTCCCGCGAGGCTCCGTGCTCCGTTCATAAGTGGAGGGTCATGAGTTTCAAATTCCAACTGGGTGGACGGGTTGACTCAGCTAATCGTCGCTCTCGGGTCGCATAAACTGATCGCTGGACGTCGGATTATGGAATTTTCATCACTTTCTTACAAGTGCCGGCATTGGTTATCATTTAAACTTATTTTTAGTTTTTTTCGGTAAAGTCACGTAGGTAAAAAATTAAAATTAATAAAAGTAAGTAAGTACTTGATACAGCAATCGTGCTGTGACGGTTCCACCTGAAGACGGAAGCTTGTGTTGCCTCCGAAGCGTCATTTATTTTTATTTTTAAAATTTTACTTTTTTTAATTTTAATTTTTTACCTACGTGACTTTACCGATAAAACCTAAGAATATGAATCCTTGCAGTCACGAAAGCTTCAAATCTAGAATCATTTAAACTGACTCGTTCTCGACATGGTAATGAGGAACGCTCACAATTTGTTTAAACTAAAGTATTATAACTATATTTTTTTTATTGTACCACGTAAGGCACACTGAGCTATATAGCCCTTGTTCAGAAGCGACCTGCCCACAAATGATAGCTCAACCAAGTAGCTTACCACGTGGAAATTTATAGCAGCCAAATACTATAAACGCATATTTATAAATGTGGAGCGGAAAACCGGATAACCCGAAGAAGAATCCACGTGACCACGGGCAGAACATGCAAACTCCAAATATACTGCAGCAGGAGTCAGGCTCAGGATCAAATCCAAAAACCTCCCGTATACCCGGCGAGGTAGTTAACATCTCGCCACCGCAGCACGCGTGGAACTGGATATGGAGTCAATTTCACTTTTTTTATAGCCCTCACTTCGAAGTAAACCGGAACGGGGGAGTGGGATAAAATATTGCGTCTAAAACAACTATTCATTAAAGCGATCACACATTCCAAATAACAGCGAGAACATTCGCAGTAACACAAAGCAATCCCTCTGTATAGCGGTAAGGAATGTGTGTGGCGGGTTTAAATACTATTTTGGTTATGCTATTAAATTACAGCAGCCTCGTCATCAGTCATTATCATCAATCACCACACGTCCTCATCATTATCCATCAGTGCCTCTATGTATGTATACGTGTGTGCGCGTGTGCGGGTTTGTGTGTGTGTATGTATGGGTGGGGAGCGGTGGTGTCGCGGTTAGCGCGCTGTGCTACGAACCCGGCCGTTCGATTCCCGCTCACGGCCAACACCAGTGACGATTATCTGAACCGGTCCTGCCCCCCCTCCCCCCTAGGTCGACTCAGCCTCAAATGAGTACCTGGTACATTGTACAAACATTAACACTGGTAGGACAAAATCACATATTCGTGCGCTACTCCGACCTTAATAGGCGCTCGCTGACAGCACTGAGCCTGCCCTATACGGCTATGGTGCAGGTATGAGGTGCGGTAGGACACAACAACATCAGTGGAGAGTGATAGGTGCTCGTGAACAGCACTTGCCCCAACAGTCTGTTAGAGGCTGAGTCGTTCAGCTCATGTTGTCTCGCTGACCATCCAGTCCCGGGTCAAGAACCCCTTCTGTCTGGACCCCCGTGTGGGACAGAACTGCTGTCAAGATTGGGGGGGGGGGGGTAGAAGAGAGGGGAGAATATGGATACATTGGAGGTGTACACAAGAGGTCTTTCAGATTTGGCGAAGCTATCGAGTGTGCAGGCAGTGCAATTGCACCAGGATCCACGGGCCAGAGGATCCAGACGAAATGGCCCCCCTCCCCCCGCGCCTAGGGGGAGCGGGGGTATTTAATTATTAGCACCAGGGCCCCATACAAGCCACGTTAACACAAGTGCGATTGAGATTCATAATTTGTCATCTTAGACTTGTGGGACCAAGGGGGTGACCCAGAGTGTGCGTGTTTTTTAATGTATTTTTTTGGGATAATTTTGGATAATCCTGTAGTGTGGGATTCAGACGACACGAACGTGCGGTGAACACGGGAGGACGCAGAGGTATAAATCAGGCGTGGATGTGAAAGCGGCTTGGACTGAGCCCACAGCGGAGAGCGCGGTGCCGTGTTGGGTTCACGTAGCCGGGGGTCGGGAGGGGGGGGAGGGGGATTTCCGTAACGCGTCAGTGCGGGATACAGCTGACGACCAAACCACCCCGAACGCGCCAGGCGAACTCGAATTCGCGCGGAAGCTAAGCGGGTATGGAGCCTGTTGTGTACCGCGCTGTGATGGGCATAATGCCTGGGGTAGAAACTAGGTGTTGCCAACACGGCCTGCGAGGTGGGGTGTGGCCGCAGGATTTATTCAGTGCAGCAACATTGATTATTGAATCTATCTGTGTGGAGTGTGAGTGACGCTGACCACGGTGGCAGCCACATCTCATGTCATGGTTAGTGGTTGGCAGATGCACAGTGCTACGAACCGGGCCACCCGAGTTCTATTCTCGGCCACGGCTAATATCAATGACTCACTCCCTTTTCTCATACAAAGGGGGCCCCTTATTCAAATCTAACCCCCTTTTCATAGCCCGATGTCCCCCACCCCCCTATCGGCCTATTGACCCCAGTGACCCTGGTGCAATGACACCGCCTGCACACTTGAAAGCTACACCACTGAACGGCACCCACCCACTCCTCCCGGCAAATCGGGGCGACCGACCCGGGCCCCCACGCTTTGAGGGGGCCCCGCACTTTCAACGTCACGGTGTCAGATGTAATAGTTCCGATTCAGTTTGAAAGCGTCAGTGGGTAGCCCACATGCTGGGATTTGCCCCAGAACTCCCCCTCACCCCTATGGACGGCTCTGCCTCTGAGCCACGGTCTCACACCACCGCTCGTCAATCTCGCGTGGGGCCAACGCACGGTAGGAACTGATGCACCTGCCCCCCCCTCCCATATACCCATCCCCCACCACCAGGGCTTACATTATCACCGAATATCTTGCGGGCTGCTGGTATACTGGAGTATGCACGTAACTAGTACGGCGACATCCATACAGGAAGATGCATACTGGACGTTGTGTGCCGGGTGCAGACTCGTTGTGGGTAGTTGACCCGGACGGAGCGGCGTCAATATTTCTCCCCCCCTTGCCCCCACCACCTCTGCCCCCTCGCCCCCACCATCTTTGCCCCCTCGCCCCCACCACCTCTGCCCCCTCGCCCCCACCACCTCTGCCCCCTCGCCCCCACCACCTCTGCCCCCTCGCCCCCACCATCTTTGCCCCCTCGCCCCCACCACCTCTGCCCCCTCGCCCCCACCACCTCTGCCCCCTCGCTCCCACCACCTCTGCCCCCTCGCCCCCACCATCTCTGCCCCCTCGCCCCCACCACCTCTGCCCCCTCGCCCCCACCATCTTTGCCCCCTCGCCCCCACCACTCTGCCCCCTCGCCCCCACCACCTCTGCCCCCTCGCTCCCCACCACCTCTGCCCCCTCGCCCCCACCATCTCTGCCCCCTCGCCCCCACCACCTCTGCCCCCTCGCTCCCACCACCTCTGCCCCCTCGCCCCCACCACCTCTGCCCCCTCGCCCCCACCACCTCTGCCCCCTCGCCCCCACCACCTCTGCCCCCTCGCCCCCACCACCTCTGCCCCCTCGCTCCCACCACCTCTGCCCCCTCGCCCCCACCATCTCTGCCCCCTCGCCCCCACCACCTCTGCCCCCTCGCCCCACCATCTCTGCCCCCTCGCCCCCACCACCTCTGCCCCCTCGCCCCCACCACCTCTGCCCCCTCGCCCCCACCACCTCTGCCCCCTCGCCCCCACCACCTCTGCCCCCTCGTCCCCACCACCTCTGCCCCCTCGCCCCCACCACCTCTGCCCCCTCGCCCCCACCACCTCTGCCCCCTCGCCCCACCACCTCTGCCCCTCGCCCCCACCACCTCTGCCCCCTCGCTCCCACACCTCTGCCCCCTCGCCCCCACCATCTCTGCCCCCTCGCCCCCACCACCTCTGCCCCCTCGCCCCCACCATCTCTGCCCCCTCGCCCCACCACCTCTGCCCCCTCGCCCCCACCACCTCTGCCCCCTCGCCCCCACCACCTCTGCCCCCTCGCCCCCACCACCTCT